GCCACCGAAAACACAGTTGAAAACACGTAAGAAAACATCAGCACAGCACAGGGGCGACCGGTCGCTGATACCTTGCGACCGGTCGCTACGACCATTTGGATACATAGCGACCGGTCGCTGATACCTTGCGACCGGTCGCTACGACCATTTGGATACATAGCGACCGGTCGCTGATACCTTGCGACCGGTCGCTACGACCATTTGGATACATAGCGACCGGTCGCTGATACCTTGCGACCGGTCGCTACGACCATTTGGATACATAGCGACCGGTCGCTGATACCTTGCGACCGGTCGCTACGACCATTTGGATACATAGCGACCGGTCGCTGATACCTTGCGACCGGTCGCTACGACCATTTGGATACATAGCGACCGGTCGCTGATACCTTGCGACCGGTCGCTACGACCATTTGGATACATAGCGACCGGTCGCTGATACCTTGCGACCGGTCGCTACGACCATTTGGATACATAGCGACCGGTCGCTGATACCTTGCGACCGGTCGCTACGACCATTTGGATACATAGCGACCGGTCGCTGATACCTTGCGACCGGTCGCTACGACCATTTGGATACATAGCGACCGGTCGCTGATACCTTGCGACCGGTCGCTCGTTGCGATTTTTCCAGATTTCGAATCTGCTTCTAAACGACCGGTCGCCCAAACCTTGCGACCGGTCGCTCACTCCTTCGCTTGCATACTAAATGTGAGCCTATTTTACAACAGGTCTGAACTGCATCAACATGGCCCTCTCTGACTTCTATGCCTCTCATTCTTACTACAACACTAGGCTTGTTCTGCACCAAAGGAAATCCCCTTCAGATGTTGTTGTCACAGCTTCTGCAGGTTCTCTCTACCTCTCTTCTCTTTTTGCATGTTTTGTTTTTTGTTTTTGTTTTTCCATCCAATTAATCCAGGCCACCCACTTATTTTCTAATACTCAGTGGGTTTTTATTTATTTATTATGAGTTGATTACTATTTTTTTAATATTGGGAACCATATATCAGGATCTTATTTAATTATCCATTTTCACATTTGAAACAGCTCTAGACCTAATAAAGAATGTTAAAGTGCAAGCAATTATAGGACCCGAATCATCCACGCAGACCAACTTCGTGATCAGCCTTGGAGACAATGCCCAAGTGCCCATAATTTCATTTTCAGCAACAAGCCCATCTCTCACTGCAATCAGGAGTCCATATTTTCTCAGAGCTGCACAAAATGACTCATCCCAAGTGAAAGCCGTAAGTGCCATCATCCAAGCCTTTGGTTGGAGAGAAGTAGTGCCCATCTATGTTGACAATGAGTTTGGGGAGGGAATCATACCCTCCCTTTCTGATGCTCTGCAAGAAGTTGATGCTCGAATCCCCTACCGGAGTATCATTTCTCCAAAGGCCACTGATGACCAAATTGCGGCAGAGCTTTACAAGTTGAAGGGAATGCAAACTCAGGTCTTCATTGTGCACATGCTACCTTCTCTTGGCTCTCGGCTTTTCAACAAGGCCAATCAGATTGGCATGATGGAGGAAGGGTATGCTTGGATAATGACTGATGGAATTACCAACTCATTCAGTTACATAAATTCTTCTGTCATAGAAAATAGACAAAAAGTCACTTTTGGTCCATGTAGTTTGTCACTTTTACCACTTTGGTCCCTGTCGTTTCAATTTGATCAATTTTGTCCCTGTAATTTTGAATTTAAGCAATTTAAGGACAATTTTCAATTTCTGTCAAATTTATTAAACTTCCGTTACTTGTAAAAGGGCAATTCCGTCAAATTATTAAAAAATTAATTCCTTTTAAAAATAAGCAATACAAAATAAAATTTTAATAATAAAAAAATATCTTCTTCTCCCTCTCTCCCGTCCGCTCCCCCTCCCCTAACTTCACCATCAGATCACCACCCACCACCACTCCAACCCCACCCAACAAGCCACTGCCCAACACCACCCACCCAATATCCAACCCTTGCCACCCTCCCACCACAAAACTTCTCAATAAACTCCACCTCTCTCTCTCTCTCTCTCTCTCTCTCTCTCTCTCTCTCTCCCAAACCTAGCCGCGACACCCAGGCAGTCACCCACTCCGCGACGACCTCCGGATCCCCCTTCCTCGCCCTCTGTTCTGAACCCACCCTCAGCTTCATCAAAATGGTGATCAATGGCAGCGGCGACAACGCCAAGGTTCAAAAAATTCCCGGAATTTGCAGCCACTACATGAACGCCATTGAAGAAATACTGGAACACTCTCAGCAAGAACTGCAAGGATAAAAAGCAATGAGCACAATACTTAATGATGACATCTGAAGGTATAGCTCATGAATCTATTATATATCTATATTTTAAATAATTGTCAATCATTGCAAACCAGACATATCTTTATTGCACGTATATATAGCAATAATTTTTAAAATATACCTGAAAATTTTTGGCTTGAAACTCTGTGAGCTTGGCTGCAAACCCAGAGAAACCATATCTATAACTGTTTACCATTAATTCTGAGGCCAATTCCTTGCTGGGGTCGGGGAGGATGATAGTGGCGGTGGGGTTTGGATAATCTGGGTATCTTCTTTTACTTTTTTTTTGGTTATTTTATTCTTGGTTTTTTTTGGGGTGGGGGGGGTTTGGTTATCTTTGTTTTTGACTGAAATGCCCCTCAACAACTAACGACAGTTACTCTATTTTGACAGAAATTGAAGATTGTCCTTAAATTGCTTAAATTGAAAACTATAGGGACAAAATTGATCAAATTGAAACGACAGGGACCAAAGTGGCAAAAATGGCAAACTACAGGGACCAAAAACGACCTTTTGCCTAGAAAATATGCAAGGGGTGTTGGGTATAAAAACTTATGTCCCAAATACAAAAGAGCTTGAAAGTTTTAGAGTTAGATGGAAAAGGAAATTCCAACAAGACAATCCAACTGTCCATGGTGTTAAACTTGATGTGTTTGGATTTTGGGCTTATGATGCTGCTTGGTCACTGGCCATGGCAGTTGAGAAAGTTGGGGCTAAAAACTTCAGCCTCCAAAAGATGAATAGGACATCTGGTAATTCTAGTACTACTGCTCTAGAAGGATTTGGGATCTCTCAAAATGGTCCTCAACTTGTCCAAGCACTATTAGCTACAAGTTTCAAAGGCCTTTCAGGAGATTTCAGTCTTCTTAATGGCCAACTACAATCATCAACTTTTCAGATAGTTAATGTGTTTGGCCATGGAGAGAAATTGGTTGGATATTGGACACCCCAAAATGGACTTGAAAGAAAATTAAATTCAACAAAAACAGGCAGATATTCTACTTCTGATGTTAGTCTTGGATCCATTATATGGCCTGGAGATACCACCTCTGCTCCCAAAGGTTGGCAAATTCCTACAAGCGATACAAGGCTGACAATTTTAGTCCCTGTACAGGACGGGTTTTCAACATTTGTGACCGTGACTTACGATCCTAAGACTAATACATCTACTGTCAATGGTGGATACTGCATAAACGTCTTCGAAGCTGTAATAAAATCGTTACCGTACGCTGTTCCTTATGAGCTCCATCCCTGCCTAATGGTGAGGCCGCTGGCAGTTACAATGGCTTGGTCAATCAAGTGTTTCTTGGGGTAAGACTCATTCTAAGCTCTTTTTCCTTTTGTTTTTGTGTTTTTCTTTTCTGCCCTGAGTTACATTTTAACATAGCAATTTATCAAAGTTATCCGGTTTCTTCACTGACACAATGACATGTTTTCTTGAAAGAACTATGATGCTGCAGTGGGAGATATAACCATTAGAGCAAACAGGTCCTTATATGTTGACTTTACATTGCCATACACAGAATCTGGGGTGTTCATGGTTGTGCCTATAAAGGACAACAAAAGTAAGACTGCATGGGTGTTCTTGAAGCCTTTGACATGGGAACTTTGGGTAACAAGCGGGTGTTCTTTCATATTCATTGGTTTCGTTGTCTGGGTTCTGGAACATCGGATAAACAAAGACTTTCGTGGCCCTCCGGATCACCAAGTTGGCACAATCTTTTGGTTCACCTTCTCAACCATGGTTTTCGCACACCGTAAGTTCAAATGCCTCAAAAAGTAAAATCCAAAGTACAATGAGTAGTTTTTAACTTGTTCTTTTGAACTTTTGTAACAGGGGAGCGAGTGGTGAGCAACTTGGCTAGATTTGTAGTGATCCTATGGTGCTTTGTGGTTCTCATACTGACCCAAAGTTATACCGCCAGTTTAACATCTCTATTAACAGTTCAACAGCTCCAACCAACTGTTACTGATGTAAATTTGCTCATCAAGAATAGGAACAATGTTGCTTATCAAAGAGGCTCTTTTGTTTATGGGATTTTGAAACAACTAGGCTTTCAGGATGAGAATCTTAAGACCTTTAATACTGCAGAAGAGTTGAATCAACTTTTTCACAATGGTAGTAGAAAATCTGGTATTTCTGCAGCTTTTGATGAAACACCCTACATGAAACTATTTCTTGCAACATATTGCTCGAAATACACCATGATACCTCCAACATTTAAAGCCGATGGTTTTGGCTTTGTAAGTTCACTTGCACTCTGTCTCTCTCTAAATTGTTGATATCCACCATGTTTTCTCATCTAGGAATCTTTTGCAACTTGCAGGTCTTCCCAAAAGGTTCGCCTCTTGCCCATGACGTTTCGAGGGCAATCTTAAATGTGAGCGAGGGAGAGAAAATGAAAGACATTGAGCGCATATGGTTCAAGAAAGATGCAAGTTGTGCGGACCCCAACAGCCTGGTCTCTTCAAGTAGTCTCAGCCTTGATAGCTTTTGGGGCCTCTTTCTCATTGCTGGGGTTGCTTCAGCATTTGCTCTCCTCATATTTGTTGCCATGTTCTTGCATGCGGAACGTCAGGAGATCTTGCAGCAACTAAGACGACTTGTTCCAGGAGCCTCATTGTGGACAAGAATTTGTGTCGTGTTAAGAATATACGACCAATGGGACCTCCAATCGTATACTTTTCAGAATAATGGACTTGAAGCACCCTCTGAAGCACCTGCTGCAGTTCCCGCTGCTGCAGGTGCTGTTGCATTCCTAAAAGGACACAAATTAATGTGCAAACAACTAATTAAAAATACCCGCAAGTGCACGAATCTAATGAAGTATAGATTATGTAAGTACGGGGTCGATCCCACGAAGAACTTGTCGGCTTCCTATAAGTTCTAATTTGAGTACGTAAAGAACACTTATTTGACACACCACAAATGCACAAATGCAAAATGGAAACTAAAAATGAGTAAAGAAGTGTAAAAGAAATGAAACAACACAAGAAAACTAAAGAAAAATACAAACAGCACTTTCTATCACCCTTTTATCACCACTTTATCACTTATGAACAGTGCAATGAAAAGTGCGTGAACAGTAACAAGCGACCGGTCGTGAGACACTAGCGACCGGTCGTTTCTTCACAGAGTCGAAATTTCAATAAATGTGTGATGAGCGATCGGTCGTGAGACACTAGCGACCGGTCGTTTCTTCACAGAGTCGTTTTTTTCTGTTTTCCAGTTTCGACCTCTGTTCAGTTTTTGAAAAAGTCCAAAACAGTTACGAAAATAAACAGAATTTAGTAAACAAGACACACAATGTATCAAACACACAACTCACACACACATTGGGGGGAGGGGTTTTGGTTTGGTTCAAGTGACTTATTTCTATTGCATGAAAGTAAATGGACTTTTAATTTAAATGTGAATGGCAGAGATGAATTATCAAAATGTGAGATTAAAATGTAACAAACACTAGGGTTTCGGAATCCATCCTAAACAATTCTACCCATGTTCATGGATACTCAAGTGATGAACTCTAAATGTATTGATGAAGATGTTCGCAATCAAGACCATGGGTCGTGGCTCAAGACGCATTGATTCTCTCTAATATACGTAAAGTGCATGGTTCGTGCTACAATACTTGTGCTCTCCTTGTAACCGAACCTAGGTATGGTTCGTACTTCGATTCAATTACAAGGAGAACCCATTAAGTTCAATGAGAATATGAACATCACAAGAATCCTAATAGCATGGTGTTTACATTAGGTATTCAAGAAACCAATTCACATGGATGGTTCTTACTCCATCCATCTATTGCTTAGGAAAACATGAAGATACACATAATCCCAACAACCTCAAGAAGCATGCTTTCAAAGGTAATCAATCAAGGAAAACACACATCAAGGATAGATTAATTTGGTGAATTGGAATTAATCAACAATATCCAGAAATTCATACACTCAAGTATCAAAACAATAAGGTAATCATGTCTAGGGCTTCAACCTAAGCCCTAGCTATGGATAGTTGCTCATACTTATTCCAAATACAAACTCAAAATAAAATTAGAAAGAGTTTACAGATTTTGAGAAAATTGTGAAAGCTTCAAGGTCATCAATGGTGGAAGCTTTCTTCTCCACTTTGCTTGGCTGCACCTTGGCTTTCTCCTAGCTCTAAGCTCTCCAAAATCTGCTCTCAATGTGTAGAATAATGAAATGAATTGATTGCCCACGTTCAAGAAGCTCTCCAATTCAGGTTGCACTCCCAAGTGCCTTTTGCCCATCAATTCCAGCTCAAAGATATAATATAAAACTCATGCTTTAGTTAAAGCCTTTGCCCTTGTCCCCTTTGCCATGATGAAGCCTTGTCTTCACAAAGATGCCAATTGCTTCAGAAAATATCTCATTTACTAAGGTAATTTCTTGTTACCAAGTGTTATGGTAACAAGAAGAATCAAGATGACACAATGGAGGTAAAAGCTGGCCAATTTCGGATTTCCAGAGCTGTGGTAACATGCTGGATTGGTTGGATAGGCAATACTTGTCCAATGGAGCTCAAATTTGGATATGTTGTAGTCAACATCCATTGAAACAAGTTTCATGAAGATCTTCACCTCATCCGAGCACCAGAGCATATTGATCCCAGGTCAAGAAGTTGACCTACGAAAAATGAACAAAAACAGAATTTATAACCAATAATGCACTTTTAGCTCATTTTCATTCTAACCAAGGTAAAATCTAAGAAAACACAAAAAGGAAGTAAAAAGCTATAAAATGTCAAGAATTAACTCAAAATAATATGTGAATAACATAAAAAATCATGTGTAAAAATGAACCGAACAGGTGCTCCAGGAGGAGCTCCTGTTGGAGCACCCGTTGGTCAACCAGCCGGAGATATTGAGTTAATTAGTGACCATGAAATCATTAGATTGCCTGAGCAAGAAAGCAATGGATACAATGTCTTAGTGACACATAACATAATAGTGTATCAATTGACCCATAATTGAGGTATTAATTGCGGTTAGCTAATAGAATGTGAGCTTTGTCAATTGAAGTCGCTATCAATATGTTTAATTATTAGTTAGAATAAGTTGGTGTCATTGGAGGCCTTGACCAACCCAACAATTTCTTGGAAATTAAGCTGCCTTGGCTTACAAATTTTAGCTTTTTCCTTCAAAGAAATCTATTAATTAAATGGAAGTCAGATTAGTTGTTTAATATATCTTCTGCAATCTCAATGTAAATGAAGTCATCCTTACTTACTATACTTGTAATCTTCCTATAATATTATTATACGACTGATAAATATTTGGCCCTCGGCAGCAAGGTCATCTTTAATTATGTCACATCAAAATATTTTTTTTTGTGAATGAGAGAGACTCCGGGATGCATGGAAGTGTGAGATTATAAATAAAGTGGAACTGTAATTGTTCAGAAATTTTTCACTTTACCCTTCCAAGGATTGAATTTTCCTAGACATTCATTCATGGTTTACAAATTGGCAATGATAGAGTGAAAATGATGAGGACCTTGACAAGACCATGACCACAAATGCCACTCAACCTCCTTTTGATCACAAGAAATTTCTTGCTTCCATCAAGGTCTTCATTGTGCACTCTTGTTTGCTGATCTTGGCTCTCGGCTGTTCGACAAGGCGAAACAGATTGGCATGATGGATGAAGGGTATGCTTGGATAATGACTGATGGAATGACTAACTCATTTACTTACATAAGTTCCTCTGACATAGAAAATATGGAAGGGGTGTTGGGTATAAAAACTTTTGTCCCAAATACAAAAGAGCTTGAAAGTTTTAGAGTTAGATGGAAAAGTAAATTCCAACAGGACAATCCAACTGTCCATGATGTTTTTGGATTTTGGGCTTATGATGCTGCTTGGGCACTGGCCATGGCAGTTGAGATAGTTGGGGCTAAAAACTTCAGCTTCCAACAGATGAACAGTACATATAGCTCTAACAGAAAATACATAAAGAATTTCATAGACGAGCAAAATTAAAGATAACTTGTATTCTAAAATATTGACATCAAAAGATTCAAAGAAAATTTTCACTCCAATAAAATGGTGAAGGGTTTACACATGGGGCATTGTAGTCGAACAATCAAAGTATACAATTTGCAATTCGTATAAATGCACTAACAGCAAACAAAATCAACACACACAAAAATATGTGGTTTCTCCAAGATACCACACACAAATGTGGAATCTTTGGTGTGGTAGTACTTCATTCATCACCTTTGCCTTGGGCCTCTGCAGCATATGTCAACTTTCTTGCACAAACTAGGGCCCTCTGCTTATTACTTAGCACTGGTTTATTGTCATTCATGAATTTCTTGCAGAAATTAAGAAAAGATTATTGATAACTGAAAATATTACTATCTGTTATTGATAATTGAAAAGGAAATGAATTGTTGCTGTATGGAATTAAAATAGGGGTTCTTAGATCTAGGTCCAAAATGATTAGCCGTCATTGGGTCTAGTCCTCGTGTTTTTGGTTTTAGATGTAGGTCATTTGACATTTATTACTTTTTTGTTGTGTCGATTTTACCCTTTAAGGTAAATAAGGAAAACACATTGAAAATATAAATTTAATGCATTATTTCCTTGAAATTGAATTCCAAATTTTGAATTTTGAATTTTTTTTCCTTGATAATATTCCTAATATATAGATAAAATACAATTTAATCAATAAAAAGTAAAAACTCACATATTATACCAATCGATCAGACAAGCACCCACATTAAATTCTGTACCTGATATACAGGTAAATAATGTTAATACATGCTAGAGGGTATAACTACCTAGACTAGAGGTAATTTATGGATTTAATTACTTGGACCAGAGGTAATTTATGGGTTTAATTACCTGCATACTGCATACGAGGTGTATGCGTAGGTACCTTACCTATTGTTAAGGTATGAAGTTTTTATGAACTCTTATTACAAATTTTGATGTCGGTATACCTTGGGAAAATTTCAGAATTCAATAAATAGATTTGCAATTAAATTCAAATCAAATATGATAATTAATATCCTACAAATCAATAACTTACCAGTTTTAGGAATTCATAATTTACCTTATTTATGTTTTAGATGCACAACTGGAATTTTTTTATTAAAAAAAAAGTAAATATCAATAAATTGAAATAGACATGTAATCTTATGTGGCGCAAAAGTCAAAGGACTTGGATCAACAACAATTTCTGCGTGGATTGCACCCAAAATCTCTCCTCATAATTGGACTTATGCCAAATTTTCTAATTAAAATAACATAATTCAATGAACCAAAAAAAAGAAGGCAAAGAAGAACAATGAGCCCCCCAAAGAAAAAAAGAAAAGACTAGAACAAGCAGTGTGGCAGTGGCTCCAGCCGGAGTCCTCATCAAAGTATGAGTAAGAAAGATGATCACAGGAAAAGGATTGAGCACGATTTCAAAAGGCACAGTCAGAAGCATCACACCCACTCAGAATCCGGCATGGAACAGAGTGTTTCCAGTGACAAGCATCACAGCAACTCAGGATCGCTCTCTCTATCTCTCGCCTCCTTTGATAGGTGACAAAGAAACGGGGATAGGGAAGTATTTCTCGCAATGGTTGATATAGCCATATCGAAGCTGGTTGAAGGTATGTTCCTTTTCAGAGGAAAAAAAAAGATACAGAAACAAAAGACATAATTGCCTCCTCAAGTTGGCAAAGCTTCCGAACTTATAAATTTTGATTAAGCCATGTTGAAAAAATAATGCTCATGTCATTTGTGTTCTACACAATTCTAGAGTAGTCAAGACTTCAAAAGATGGAGATGGCAATGCAAGAATATTCTAGAACAAGCTAGCAGTGGCTGAATGCTCAAGGTGGTGGAAAAAAAGCAATTGAAGTTTGAAGAACATTCTAGTACAAGACACATATGTGGCTATAAGAAATGAAACAGCCCAAGTCGGTGGCTGTGTATGTCGGCAATCAAAGCCTATAAATAGGCATGGTTGTACTCATATAAGGTGGAGTCAACAAAAAAGAACTCCCAAACCAGATGTGGAGTGAACTAATAAACTCCCAAGACCCAAACTAAGTCGTGCATGTGGGGGAGTAAACAAGCAAACTCCCAAACCATTAGGGAGCCAAGAGCTAACCAAATTAAACTATGGTGAGGAGCCAATAAGCTCATCAATTAAAGTGTAAGGGCCAAATAGCCCAAACTAATTTAAGTCAAGTGTGGTGGCCAATAAGCCAATATGCTAAGGAGGTCAATTAGCCTACACCTAGTCATGTACTACTCTCCTCCACATCTAATAAAATCACTTTGTTTCACCTACTTAAAACTACCCTTAAAAAACCTACAAGCCAATATATCCTAGTTAGTTACTCATTATTGCAGTGAGTAAAGAAATTATAAAATTCAGTTTAGAGTGTTGGAAGCTAAATTAGTGGATAATATTAATGGATTTTCCAACAAATACTCAATATTTCCAACAAATACCTATTAATATTATTACTTTCTTTTCTTTTGGTTTTTTTGGTCCTGACTGGATCTAACAAATACTCAATATTTCCATAAAATCAAATAAAAGGTATATTTAATATTTCCTTTTACCTAATTTTTGATGTGAATCCTGACTGGATCTAACAAATACTCAATATTTCCATAAAATCAAATAAAAGGTATATTTAATATTTCCTTTTACCTAATTTTTTATGTGAATATATATATATATATGCTGTGTGAGTTTTCATTTACCATGCAAGACATTAATACATGGTATTATAATTAGTTGTTGCATGCGAAAACAGTTTTTGGGTTCTGCAGGTATATATTAATTACCAATCCAGAGACTCAGATGGGTTTCCATCCTAATGCAGTGCAGGTAGTCTGGAGTTGCAAATTCAATCATTAAAATTTACATCCATCCACTAGTATGGAGTGGCTAGCTGATTCTGAAACAAAACATCTCTAACCATTAAACTTAAAATTCAAATACAGGGTGTATTACTTTCAACACTCTTCTTTAATACACATTTGTATTTCTCCGAGTATGCTCTTCCTGAAGCTAGCATTGATGTTCTAGTTGATGCTGCAACTTCGTGCTCTTGTGGCACTTTGTTTGTTCTTGCTCTTGTGGCACTTTCTCTGTTCATAGTTACCTCTTGATAGGTTTCTTTTTATATATATATAATTTTTTTTTATAATTTATTGGTCACCACACTTGATTTAGATTAGTTTTGGGCTATTTGGCCCTTCAATTAGATTGGTGAGCTTATTGACTCCCTAACATGGCTGTGTTTGGGTAGCTCTTAGCTCCCTTATAGTTTGGGAGTTCTTTTTGTTGGACTCCACATGGATTGGGAGTTGGTGGATGACTCCACTTTGCTTTGGAGGGCTACAACAAATCCTTTTATAGGTGAAAGTAGCCGACATAGGCTTTCTCCACCGACTTGATCTCTTTACCCCAGCCACAAGTGTGTGGCTTTCTAGAATAATCTTCATGGTTGCATGTAGTTGCCGACTTCCCATCAAGCTATAGTACTTTCTTCAAGCTTCTAGATTTTTCTATACAAATGTGTATTAATATCAACAAAAAGATAAAAGAAAGTAAATATCCAACGACGGCAGACTCAAACTTTAAGGAGCCGGAGCTAGACGACGCCTCTGAGAGCTGGCAGCTACGGCCTCCTGTAACTCTCTCAAAATTATTGGTTTGGAGCGGCTGCAGGTTGAGTGGCTGCAGCGGCTGCAGGAGGTTGAGCGGATACAGGAAGAGCGGCTGCAGGAAGAGCCTCCCCTGCCAGATTCTCAGCTGGCACAGGCTCGTTGAAATTTGGGAATACCATAGTTCGGTGATGGTTAGGATGAGTTACCACTTTAACCATGCATGCATGAGTTCATCTTATTTATACCTCTCCTTTTTTTCCTTTTTTCAATTTTTCAGGGCAAGAGTGAAACACTTCAGACATTATCCTATACTAAATATCAGATCCGTATGTGTTCGAATTCCCACTCCAGACCACTGGATGTAATAACTAGTAATCTTTCAAATGCGCAACCCCAATCCAGCTCGCTCGCTCTCTCTCTCTCTCTGTCTCTTTTGCTCTCCTGCTGAGGTAACTGGCAATATCTAACTTTTTCTTTTCTTAGATATAAGTTTTGGTGGTGTTGTATAATTGTATATGGAAAAGTCATTTTGGTCATGTATATTTTCTTTATATATAGTTTAACAGTTTGTTTCAGTAGTGTTAAGGTACAAATTCTTCATTTTGTGTGTATTTGACTTGCGCCCCAAACTTTCTTCTTTATCCACTGATTAAACCTCACAAAACAAATATTCTCCTTATAGTGTTGAGGAGAAAATGAAGATTTGGTTATAACTTATTCAAAAAAAAATATAAATATAATATAAATCTTCTCAAGAAATCAAGCAACCCAAAAATCTCAACGATATGCCTTCTTTCTTTTCCTAGCACCATAATTGATGCTCAAGCATGATTTTCCATATTTGAAGCCCAATTTCTGATTTTCAAATTTTCCCCTTTTTCAAATTTCCTTCGTAGGAACAAACCCATGATTTGCCCTACATCAGAAGGGGTGGCTAACTGTTTAGCAAAGGTTAGCTATAATTTTGATTTGGGGTTCTTTGTGTTCAATGAGATTCCTAACTCAATAGAGGCTACCTTCATGACTTCTTCATGATTTGGGGTTCTTTGTGTTCAATGACTATATTATTTGATTAATTATCATACAGCAATTATGAAAACTTAATAATTCTGTTACTAATTAATTGTGTTCTTGAGCTCCTTCATGACTTCTTCACATTTCTGGATATGCTTGACTAACAACAACCGGTAATATTCCTTCTTCTCTGAAGAAAGGTGAATGTGGATTTGTGTGGTTTGAATGGCCAATCGACTCAGGGCTTGGTGGGCTTGGTGGGCGCGTGCTGTTATTGTTTGGTGAAGCCTCAACAGATGTAGCTATACTGCCAGCATTGTACATGTATTTTCCATCTTGAGAGCCAGTCTTTCTAAAAGTATGGGAGCTGAGGTCTTTTTGGTCGAAGATTCTAAGCATCACCTTGATTCTTTTCCATGCAGAAGCGCCTGTTGTCATGAACATGTGCCAATGCCTATAACAGAAGGAGGCTGCAAATATGATGAGAGATAGTGACGAAGAGACCCCGGCAATGAGGAAGAGACCCCAGAAGCTATCAAGGCCAAGACTGTTGGAATCTGAGATGGTGGGTTTTGTATCTGAACATGTTGCATCCCCTGCAAACCATTTGTTTTCAATTTCCTTCATCATGTCTCCCTCAGTCACGTTCAGAATCGCCCTCGAAACATCTGGTACTAGAGGTGAACCTTTGGGGAAGACCTGATACATTTGCACAATAGAAGAAACATGAACTGACGCCACGTATGTATGTGATACAAATAGCGTTATTCATGTGTTAGTAATGTGGTGTGCAATGTCTTTCAAGAATGTGCTCATGGAGCGTTACTTGTGAGAGAAGTAAAGAGAGAGAGCTTACAAAACCAAAGCCATCAGTTTTGAATATTGGGCCAATCATGGTGTATTTGGAGCAATACTTTGCAAGAAAAAGCTTCATGTTGGGGGTTTCATCAATAGCGGCAGCAATGCCGCCATTTGCACTCCCGTTTGTCAAAAACTCATGGCATTCATCTGAAGATTTATAAGGCCTCAACTTGTTAGGATCAACACCTCTTTGGATCAGAAGCTCACCGACGAAAGAACCATTAATGTACCCGATATACTCCTTGTTCTTTATAAGATCGCTCAAATTGGAAAAAGTTGGCTGAAGTTGTTGAACTGTTAACAGTGAAGTTAAACTTGCTGTGTAACTTTGAGTCAGTATCAGCACTACAAACACCCACACGATCACCACAAACCTTGCCAAGTTGCTAACTACCTTCTCCCCTGTAAATTAATTCAAGTAAAAATTGATGAAAAAAAACAATTAATTGTAGAATTATAAGCATGAACATGAAACATGATGAGGTTGTGGTAGTCACGCTGTGCAAAAACCATGGTTGAGAAGGAGAACCAAAAGCTTGTGCCGATTTGGTGGGAGGGAGGGCCACGAAATTCTTCGTTAATACGGTGTTCAAGAACCCAAACAGCGAAACCAATGAAGACGAAAAAGCACAAACTTGTGAGCCAGAGGTCCCATGTCAAAGGCTTCAAGAAAATCCATGCATTTTTGCTCTTGCCGTCTTTCATTGGCACCACCATCACAACCCCTGATTCTGTGTATGGCAATGTGAAGTCCACATACAAAGACCTGTTTGCTCTAATTGTTGTGTCTGCTGCCAGTGCATCGAAATTCTGTTGAACAAATAAACAAGCCAAAATTTCAATTTAAGCAGATTATAAGTACTTCAAGTGATCAGGCAAACTGAAATCATTGAAGAAAATGAAGTTCTCATTAATTCGACATACCCCGAGAAAAACTTGTCGGACCAGATCATCGTAGCTGCCAGCACTTGTGCCATCAGGATTTGCAAAGGGAATGAAGTCATAAGTAACAGCATATGGTAATGCAGCCATTGCAGCATTGAAGACATCGATACAGAATCCGAAAACTTCGGTTGTGTTAGCGAATAAATAAATAAAAGGCCACCTGCCACCTTCTCTCTCTCTCTCTCTCTCTCTCAACTTAACCCCCACAGATCCACCCCTCTCCAGCCCACTCTCTCATTCTCTTCCAGATTAGTGCCAGATTAGATTTAGAGGTTGAATATGGACCGTTTGTGTTTGTCAAATTCAATTTTTTCTCAAGTCCACTCTGTGGTTTCCAAAACCCAATTGTTTTTGCTGCATTCCCAATCACATTCACCAATTCAAAAATGGAATTTTGTAATTGCCCATCAACAAAGCTGAAATCCCCAGAGAGGCCTCTCAAGTTAGTACTTGACAAGGATTGGCAAAGTTCTGGACCGTTTTGGGAAACCCCAAAATATTCAAGATCAGTTGATGAGTTGGTTGAAGCATTCGCCTTTTCAAAGCCAAAGTTTTTAGTCCCAACATTTTCAACTGCCATGGCTAATGCAAAAGCAGCATCATAAGCCCAGAGTGCAGGAACATCTAACTCAGCATCAATTATGGTTGGATTGTCCTTTTGGAATTGCCTTTTCCATCGAGCTCTAAAATCGACAAGCTCTTTTGTTTGTGGCACATAGGTCCTCACACCCAATGCGCCTTGCAGTGAATTGATGACTGAAGCATTCATGGTAGTTAAATGATTGGTCATTCCACTAGCCATGATCCAAACGTAGTCTCCATCCATCATATCCATCTCTTTTGCCTTGGCGAAAAGGCGAGAGCCAAGAGAGGGCAACATGTGCACAATGAAGACTCTAGTTTGCATGGTCATTAGCTTGTAAAGCTCTGCAACAAGTTGGTCATCAGTTGCCTCTGGAGGTATGGCGCTTCGGTAAGGGACCTGAGCTTGAACTTCTTGCAAGGCATCTACCAAGTAGGGTATGACTCCCTGGCCATACTCGTTGTCTATATAGATGGGGACAGCTTCCCTCCATCCAAAGGCTTGGACAACAGCACTTATGGCCTTGACTTGGGAAGAGTCATTTTGTGCAGCTCTGAAAAAATATGAACTCCTAATGGAAGTGAGGGAAGGACTTGTTGCTGAAAATGAGATTATGGGCACTTGGGCTTTGTCTCCAAGCTCAATTACAAAGTTGGCTTGCATCGATGATTTCGGTCCTAGGATTGCATGTACTTGATCATTTTTTATCAGGTCTAAAGCTGTTTGATCAATACAAAAAATACAAGTTTTAAAAAAAGGGACAAGAACTTAATTACTATGCTTCTTTTCATTTAAAAAATAGTCTTATCAAATGAATAGAAGGGTCAAACTTATATAGATGTCAAGAAGAATCAAATTGTTGAAAATTCAAAATGAAAAGCAAAGAAGAGAGAGAGAGAGAGAGAGAGAGAGAGAGAGAGAGAGAGAGAGAGAGAGAGAGAGAGAGAGAGAGAGAGAGAGAGAGAGAGAGAGAGAGAGAGAGAGAGAGAGAGAGAGAGAGAGAGAGAGAGAGAGAGAGAGAGAGAGAGAGAGAGAGAGAGAGAGAGAGAGAGAGAGAGAGAGAGAGAGAGAGAGAGAGAGAGAGAGAGAGAGAGAGAGAGAGAGAGAGAGAGAGAGAGAGAGAGAGAGAGAGAGAGAGAGAGAGAGAGAGAGAGAGAGAGAGAGAGAGAGAGAGAGAGAGAGAGAGAGAGAGAGAGAGAGAGAGAGAGAGAGAGAGAGAGAGAGAGAGAGAGAGAGAGAGAGAGAGAGAGAGAGAGAGAGAGAGAGAGAGAGAGAGAGAGAGAGAGAGAGAGAGAGAGAGAGAGAGAGAGAGAGAGAGAGAGAGAGAGAGAGAGAGAGAGAGAGAGAGAGAGAGAGAGAGAGAGAGAGAGAGAGAGACCTGCAGCAGCAGCATCTACAACATCTTCTCTGGAGTCTCTGATGCTTAAAGCCAGCCTAGTTGTAGAGGAACCACGAGAGGTATAAAAGTCTGAGAGGCCCAAGTTGATGCAGCTCAACCAAACTTTTGTGTCTGGTGAATCAAGGTCATCAAGAACCACACCAACATTCACTGGGATTGTTGTTCTGTTCTGTCCCCTGACAACCAAGGAAAATTCAATGCTTAAACAAACAAGGAAGAAGAAAGAACGATAGAGGATGGTTGCTTTCCCGATCTTCATGTTTCTATCTGTTTTTGCAAGCTTCAATGATGTTTTTCAATCCAAAGAGGCTTATACATACATATTTTTATATAGGATGGGAGGATGGTTGACCAAATACTAGGATCCAAATTTCTGATTCAAATTAAATTGTAGACGAAAAATTAATTATGAAATACGCGATTAATCATTTGATAATATATAGCAATTTCTTGCTAAACTTGACGTTCTTAACAGTGTGTTCTCGAGAATCTTGAATCTTGACCAAATCAAAGTAGTAACACGTGATATTGAAAGAGATACTGTGCAGTTCATACCAAGTCAAAGTATTGGTGTATGGAGTACTTGAAGGGTATCAAAACACAATTTAGAATAATTATGTCAATTTGTTTTCTTAATCTCCAAGAGCTTCTGGAAAGCATATTGGGATATTTAAATGGTACTTGTCAAGGTTAAGCAATTGGTCAGTGTTTTTTATTTTTTATTAGCAAAAATAGTATCTTTTGAGGAAATTTACAACTGTGAGAGAGACTTCATCGGAACGTACATCATAAATGATTTTATATGCTGCCGTTGACCTGTAGACAATGACTACATGCTGCCCTGTTCCAACTCTGTTTTTTAAATCATTTTCTGTTTCTTTCAATCTTTTTCAAGACCTTGCTGTTTTTGATACTCAATCTCAATGAAATTTCGTATGAAGGGTATATACTTGGAATTTATGTGATCATTGGTATAATATTTTATAAGATTCAACAAACTTATAGATAGTCTAGGGTTGGAATCTCAACTTAAGAATATCTGCTTAATGTTAATATCTACATGGTTTTAGCCTCATCACTAATCACTACTCGCACGAATCTACGCATGAAAGCCGGCATGATAAATATATCCACATACAAAATCAGATTAAAATCCATTTGTGGCCGAATTATGAACGCAATTTTCACTTGATTAAAAAAAAATTCCAAATTTTAGTTGGCAAAAGATGAAAGTGTCTCATGATGAGAGAAAATATTCTAAATTCTAAGTTTCTTGGCTTCTAAGTTATTTCCGTGATTGTGAAGCCTCAACTTCAACACCTAAAATCTTCTAAATTATAATCTTTTGTTTCTTTTCTAATTCTAGTTTTAAGTGTTGAAAATGAGAAAATTAAAAAGAAATATTACTTGGAAAGGTTCAGCGGAATGGAATTGAAGTCAAT